AGTAGAGGGGCGTCACCGGTAACTGCCCGCTGCCCGATCCAGATCCGCTCCCGTCCACTAGTTGAGACAAAAGAGAGCGGCCACCTAGTTAACCAGTTTAAAAAGCAATATTCTGTTAGCAAACGATTATTTATCCACCAATTTACCTATCGCCAAATTACATCTATCGTCCGTCCTTCCTCCCAACGCCAACTCCTTTCTTTTCTTTATGGTTCTCCGCTCCGCTTTGTCAGCTATGGGTGTATTGTTTACTACATACAGGGGCTTTTGATACACTATCTGATATGCTCAAGCGTTCAAATGCTTGTAGGGGTCGGTGATGAAACGGAAGAACTTGTTGTCGCAAACGGATTCGTTGAATTGTTGCAAATTATTAAACAATGTCTGCTGATTATTATAACTAGTCAAATTAGTCATTGACGAATTGTTAGATGCCGCAGAAGAATCATTCGATGTCGAATATGGATTCATAACGCTCATTGGGCGATTGAAACTGACCAAGTTTGTTATTTGACGATTATTCAAGTTGACATCCTGATACAATCCATCCAGACTGCCATCTTGGAGTGACAACTGACATGTCAGGCACTGTGCTGCTGCACTGGTTGAGACTGGGATACTTGTGAGGACGGTTGCAAATTCGGTATAGTTACTAAATGGTGAGAAAATATTTTCGACCTCGGATTTACGACTAGATAATGTGTCGGATGATGGGTGTCGCGCTTTGGTAGCTAGCGAAAGTTGGTGAAGTGGGCGACACGGTCCTTGTCGAAGCAGGCGTTGTTGTCGTACTAGACCCTCTGCCCACGTTCCATCCCGGGATCCGTGAAACTCTTGAAATGGTTTCCTATTACATGCGTAGCATCATCGACTTCCAATTTATATATCTGCCCGAATGAAAAGTTTCGTAAAATATTTCGGTACAGGTGCCGTCGTTGGAATTTCCCCTGTGGCCTTGAGAGTTTCTAAATTTCTATTAAGTATAGCTCTTTTTTTCTTCTTCTGCTTTGGAGGAGGAGCGATGGAGAGTAACAATATAGTATCGTAGTGTCATATGTAATATGGGTATCAGCATAGAAATTGTTCGTTGTTGTATTTGCGTTTTGGAGGAGGAGTTGTATGTGCAATGGAGGGACGAGTCTGAGTATATATATATATATATATATGTCTGAGTAGACGCGTCGGATGACGGAAGATGACATATTGGTACTACTTGATATTGTCTTATAAGTATAAATGTCTTATATTATGCAGTAAGGAGTGCGAGGATATATTGCCTAGGGTAACACATCGTTACATCATATCGTGATTGACGTACAGAGAAACAATAGTATCAATGTGACATTTCAGAGCACACGAGTAAAATTTTTTTTCACTGTTAAAAGTCCGATAAGTCACGCGTATAATTCAATTAAACTGACTAATATCGTTATCTACGCAGTAAGGAGTGTGGGAGTTTGCAGTGTAACATATTACATCATATTGCGACTGACTGTCACGATTGATAGTGATCGATGATTGTCTAGCCGAACAATAATTTCTCCTATATAGCGATAGAATAAGTCTTTTTTACGTATTATATTTATAATAATGACTACTATTATTGTAACAGATGTTCTTACTATATATAACATTTTGCTTGCTTGAATATACGGTTGTCCCTTAACCAGCGACTGTAAAGAGGGGTATATGTACAAATTTCGTTGTAAAGTGCTTTTACAATTTTATTGTAAATCTACAAAATGGCCTTCATACAACTTGATATTCGTTTTATTTATTCAGTTAGTTTGTACCCGTCAAATATGATATACTACAGACGTCATACACTTTATTAATACACGTAATGACCCTCCCATTTAGCTTTAAAGTCATGCCTCTCTCAATTGGAAGTATTAAAATATTTTGCATTCTAAAATTTTGTCAAGATCTTATGACAACCTCCGATTTTGGCCATTTATGATGCATGTGAACTGCCCTATTTTAGCAAACAATCAGTACGTGGCTGTGCAAATTTGCGAGAAACTTCTCCCATCTACTATTATAAAATGCGGCTAATGCACAAACAATAAACGATAATGCATGTGGATGGATTGACATGTTCTGCTTGGGGCCGGGTGTTTATTCATTAAAGTGTAGTTAATGTGACTTTGCGTATATTCGGTGGAGTTAATGGCTCCGAATTTTAGCCCCGCACGCCTTTTAAACGTGGTTCGTTCAAACTCACACCCATTTATTGATAATCTGGCATGTTCTCCCCTCGCACGTCCTTAAGCATCATACAGACACTCCAGACACTCCCATTCATGCATGGCTAGTTTGACAATGACATGTTTCCGTTTGGTGTCTTACTTATTGAAGTATAGTTCTTTGTGTAGCCCATACGTCCTTTAAACATGATTCGTTCACTTACCCCGTGTTAAGAAATTTGTTTGACCTTTTTAGAACAATCGAAGTAGCGCAAATGGACTACTCTTTACAAATAAAACGGTCACAAAGAAAACTCATCAGAGAAAAAAAGGTATATGATGGTTGGGATTTCAGTCTTTTAGATTCGATGTGTTTGATTCTCTTTGGATTTGATTTGTTTAGTTGTTTGTCATTAAATATAACGGTTGCAAGATAATATGGGTTTACATAGGAAAAAATATGTCATGTAAATGTAGTTAGTTTAGCCTTATTGTTATAGTACAACATTTCTGGTGTGGTATTGATGTTTAGAGATGACTTCCTTATGACAAATTGTGCATGACATAACCAGAGAATTTGCCCAATACTTTCGCTAAGGGGATTCGATAGCTTTCAGTTAAATTTTATACTAATTTATTCTTTATGCACAAATAGTACAACATTCAAGTTTGGTTAATCTCAAAGACCGCGCCATTTTCTGATTAAAACAAAGTATAAAGATGGCTTATGTCTGTTTCGTGCTGAGGATTTATCTTCTGATACAAGTGCATCGATTATAAAGCCAAGACCCTTATTAGATTAAGGCAACACACGCTGAGACTTTTTCATAATGAATCATGGTGCATCGAACTGATAGCTGCTGTATATACAACGGACAGAGTATTTTCGACTAAGCATCACCTTTATTAAAACACAAATGCACATATACACTTCAAACCTCCTTTAAATCATCAGTGATGTGTTTTTCATCTTTTGGCATACCGTGGCCTTGTCTTTTTTCTTTCAATCTTATATATCCATCATAAACATGTCCAATAATATTAGAAGTCAAGATGACAGAACTCATTACCAATGACAAGAACGGAATAATATCATATGAGACTGTTAAATATCTATACAAAATCTATGAATGATAATAATTCAATAGTTAGAACTTGTATTATTCCAATCCAACAACACCATCTTTACATACCTGAATGATCAACTGAGGAATATCTTCGATAAACAAATTCAGTGTGCCACCCCAGAAAACCTGATTTAGTACAGTCTTTGACAATGGTGCAGAAAACATCTTCAGGCCAGCAAATTTGGATCCAAGCAAAGTAACAACCTCAACATCAGCACCTGCTAGCAAAGTAAGTATTGAAGCTACTCTTAAATTCTGACTAAACCACTCTTGAAATTTAGCATTTTTACTTATTTCCTTCATTAATATTGAGAATGCCAGACCAGAATTCAAGGTAACAGGAACTACTAAAAAAATTATACTGGAAACAGAAATATATAATTAACAAATTCAATTTGGTAGAGATGTATCATGTTTGCAATAATCATAAACCAAATGAGTAATACCTTGGTATATGTATCTGTGGAACGTTCTTTGCACTTGACAGTACAAATGCTATATCAAGACTCAAGTCTGCGAGTATTAGTGCAAATTTTATGACAACAAAACTTTGACCCTAGTGAAATGGTTTCAGGTAAGGTATTAGAAATCGTAACATTTTGTACAAACAACAGTATATCGAGGACAACTCACTTCTGGATACTTTTGTCTTGCGAAAAAGCATATTATTAATAATACCAAGAGACTAATAAGCACTCCAATGAATTTAAATTTGTAAGCATCCCATAAATTGGCTAGGAAAGTTTCATTGATAGTGTATTAGTTATTATTAATCAAAATAATAGAAAGCAACTTAAACTTTATAATTTGCATACCAGCAGGCAAAAACCCAAATGCTTCATCTAGGTAGCTAGTAAGATACTCTCGCGAAAACGAATTATAAGCTTTATTCTTGATTAGCTCATCAAAGTCATCAATAATCTGCTGCACCGTTCGCTGTGACATATCGTCAGACGACTTGAGAGTGACTGAAAACAATATCTGATGAGCTGGTGCATTGGGATCAGGTTGGTTGTGTTTGTTGGTGGTTATACGTGACGGATCAATGGGGACGAGCTCGGCAAGCTTTGCAACCATAGAGTCGAAGAAAGCGTTCTTATCATCAGTAGATAAGTGTTCAAATAACGTCGTTCCTTCAGGTGTCAACCTCAGAAGACCTGTCGTGGTAGCTGTTATAGAGGGAATAAACTGTCAGTCATACCGTATGTATACACGTTATACGGTAATCACTGTGATGCTTTACCTGTATATCTTCCTTCAGTTGAAGCTAATAAATTCAAACCATTTCCGATAAGCAAATTAATGTTCAACAATTAAGAAATATTTTAATAGTCAATCCATACCTCCATGATACACCCAATTTCCTTCCGTCACTCCAGTCAGTGGTTGGTTCAAACTCTTACTCATTACAAAATTGTTATCCACAACGATATCATATGTAGCACCAGGTTTGTTGAAAGTACTCTTGAATATTGGGCATGTAACCGCCGAGTCGTTTAACGTAACTGTACAGAAACCAGATTTTGCACTAAATCCCTGTCTGAGAATATGATTCCCGTCTGTTACTTGGTAAACTGAAATGTTTTGTGCCGAAAGAGCGATCTGCTGCCTGAATATCAATGTAATATTTGTAGTATCTGAAGATACAGATGAGCCTGATGGCGGAATTGATGAATCAACAAGAAGATTCTTGAATCCAGCGTCTGAAAAGTAAGAGTATGAAGTGTAAGACAAAAAGAGAGAAAGGTAATGATTTTTTATATAATTATGGATTATAAACGTTACTCACCTTCTGGCAATAGTTTCGGAAGTGGTATAAGAACTACGGATATTTTTGACATCTCCTTAATTCCTATCCACATAGTGTTATTCGGAAATACTGCAAAATCACCACGGCCGTTGACTGATAACGCTAAGGTTTGTACATTTTTTCCATCTTCATCCTTGATAGATAGGGCAGAAATCTTGGTCGCGTCAGTATCCCATTCCACAGACACAAATCCGCCATATGGCAGCTGCCGTATTGCAGATACTCCGGTTAGACCATGTGGCGGTTCTTCCAATATCGCGTTGACATCAGTCACAGAGCCACTAGATAGGAATGCCACCCTCACATAATCAAAATCATAAAGAGTTGTAGAAGGGACCCGTATAATACAAAAGTATCCTGTTCCGGAGACAGCCACTTCGCATCCGATTATAAACAAGGGACTGAGTATGTTTGTGTTTTGCCAGACTAGATGCGGTGTATCGAACTGCGTAGTATCAGGTTGCCAGAATGTAACATATAAAAACCATTGCGGAGAAGAGTGGAATACTTTAGAGATGAGTGGATCCTGAGTGAACGTTGATACCCTTTTTAAAAGAGCCATGCCATAACCGCCTTCTGTAGTGGGAAAGACTACGTAATCTTGCAGAATTTTGTCATCATTTCCTGTGAGAATGCCTTCGTATAATTGGGTTATTTGACGCGAGCTGTTGCTATTTTTGACAGAGCATATTTTGATGATTATTATAAATCAGATGCCTCATCGAATGGTTGGACAAATTATCAATTATACTCACGGTGCACTAAAGACTTTCCATAAAACTACATTCTCACCCGCAGTTGCAACAAGAAAACCTTTATTCGGGTTGACATTAGCTGTTGCAATTGGTGTCAAATTAAAGGTGATAGGAATATCAGCAAGTATTACGTCACTATCCATGAAATACCAAAGTATATATTAATTCAACACAGATCCTACGATCGATTCGATTAACCTCTTTGTTTCCTAATTCTCGTCAGAGCTTTTCACCTCCCCGACTTTTTAGCTGTACTCTTGATTTCCAGCCAGGTAACTCTTACCGTTGCAACTCCTGCCCGCTCCAATCAACCAACTTTCCATAAACGTGATTGGCACTGTCTTTTATCTGAATTATAAGCGCATATCCGTCGTTAAGCGGGTAAGCATACTGCATGATGTACGAGCCAGTATCATAAAAAGTAAGTTTTGTCAACGTGCCGTTTGGATGTAGCAGACGTATATATAGATTGTCAAAATTGTCAGGATTACACAATTGCATCAATGCTGTGCCGTCTGGATACGTAGCGTCATCATTCCCGAGGTAGAAGGAATTGAAAAACATAAAGTTGCCAGGGTCTTCGTATACTTCTACTGTATAAGCCGAAATGCTTGCAAGGGAACAAGAAATAAGAACAAACAGCAAGAGATAGCGAAATTTGTTGATCATAATACGATTCTGTCTCGATACTGGAAGATATTATTTTTACTGACATTAATTTATTTCGCTTCTTATTTAACATGAAGAAAGTTTATTGCCCCACGAGCTGTTAACTAATTGAAGGGTACAGTGATTACGGGGGTTTTATTGTTTGGGTTAGATGGCAAGAAGGGAAACCCGAATTACGTTAGAATTACATGCCATGCAAAATCGCACGACTTTAATATTTCTATTTCTGGTTTGAGATAAAATTAATTATGCAAAAGCACCACAACCTCTTCAGAGACGACAAACCGTTTACAAATGGGACTTTGTTTGTAATCTCGCTCATAATATATCATTTTAATAACGTTATATTATTATTTTTAAATAAAATAGACCTTTTACATAATATTTGCGTAAATGTTGTTTATCGATATTATTACTTTGTCTGACACACATCAACACATTGAGATATATTACAGGTTTGAATAATAGACGCCGATGAACAATCACTGATAAATAGCTGAGTGTCAAAATATTTTTAGGGAAACATTGATCGGGGTAAAAGATTGTCAGGAGAATGAATTGTCGGGAAATGAACTTATTGGGGAAATGATTGTCGGGGAAATTAATTGTCGGGAAATGTAATCATCTCGACAAGCCTCAATATCTAAGCGACAATGAGACAAATTATATCTTTATAATTTTTTTTTGCTTGCAGCTTGTATCGCAAATAAAATGAGTTGTAAACTCAAAGGAGCAGAAATAGTGAATAGTGTCTTGCATTAAACTTGTATTTATGTCATCATTGCTCGTGTCATATTCTTATGACTTGTGTAACTGATCTTTGTAAAGACTTGAGATTAATATTAATAATTTCTGCGACAGGCCCTGTTCCACAAAGATTTCGATCGATCCAAGCCCAAATATAAATCTGTTTAGAAAGATGAAGATCCGGCCTGTCAAATTTTTAATCAACATAAAATTTACTCTAAGAATTGCTATGTAACTCTAACACAATTAAGTATAGCTATCAACACTCGAAAAGCTTATCTCACTATTTAATAGAGCTACACAGTTGACATGACGCAAGCAAAACATAGATATTGATTCGATACGCTTTAAATATTACCGCTTTATATGTTAACTGAAACCCGAAAAAGTTGTCAAGGCTTTTAGTTATTACGTACTAATAATATTCGCTTATTGCAAATTATAGCCTTTACCTTGGTACTGGTCACGTTCGGTTTTTTACACAACTTTGACACCAAATCACCAACTACCCATTTAATAGATCATAACTCATGTTCTACACAATTAATGTGGTTACTTTTCTTGATTTTAAGCGGGAGACATCATATATTGACAACGCTTGGACTTAGCATACCGAATAACAGGCAACCAGAGCCATGCAAGCAAACGTGCAAGTAATATATAAACTAATTACGGATTCCGTGCGGTTCACGCACAATTGTTGAAATGACATGGAAAAACACTTTATTATTATTCAGTCCAACAGCTCAATATATGTTGCGCGGCTAAAAAATCAAAGCTGCACTTCTACTCATTGTGGGACCAACTTGGTAAGAATAATTCAAAAGTTGGTTCATGAGCTTTTTTTTTCCGACAGTCTGTTCTCGAAGACGTTCTATTATTACAAGCGAGAATACGACTGTTTTTGGGCAAGATGTCTCTTTGCGAACCATCTAATATAAGAAAGATGAAGGGGAAAAAAAGCTCAATATTTATGGTCGGCGAGAACGATGCTCAGTAGATACAAAAACCCAAAAACTAATGCGTTCAGTGCCATGCTCTCACTCCGACATAAACTTTATGTTATGTGTCTATAGCCAGATACAATACAAAAAGAAGAAATTCAAGAAGCTTCCAGAACGACAGATCAAACTTGTTTACAAGTATCAGAAACCAAAGAGTCTCATCTAGGTACATTCAAAACCCAAACTATCCGTATATGACGGTAGCGCTTTGATACTCAGAATAGAGCCTAATCATTTGCATCGAGCTTGTGCTATAACATCGCATAATTTTTACATTGTTGCACAAAACAGTAATTTGGCACTACATTGATACATTTCGTGTGTTTACATTTGATTATGTTTCTCTCCTCTCTATTACTGCCATATATGACAAAGCAAGATATAAAGGTTGCTAGTAGCACAATCTCTTTATTACAACGTTAGTACTATATAGTAATACGAATTACTTGTTAATACGCGGTGAGTTCGTGATCATTGTTCCTAGGTCACACATGAATAGCATCGACCGTAATGGAGGAGACATAATTTCATATTTAAGATACAACATACAGTACAGTTAGTAGAGTATCAATTAATGTTCGAATTAATGATAAATGAAATCTGCGTTATCAGGATAACGATATTGCTTATAATCAATCTTTTTTACACCAGTTGGAAATGTTTTAACTTTTAAGTCACGTTCCATAGTATCTAACTTTTCTTCCGAATATAAACAAACCCAATAAAGGCGTAATTCACGCTAAAATTGAGTTAAAGTTAAAATAATTGAATACGCTTTACATTAAATCAATGAATAAATAAACCATACTTACATCATCATCATCACTGATGACACTGATAGCAAACTCTATAACAATGTCATCTTCAGACAAAACGTTAACCGCGCATGGTAAAATGTATTCAGCATATTCATACTCCCTAGCTTCAATGTCCGTCTCATATTGTATTTCTTCAGTTGATGTTTTTATTGTTGTCTACAAAACCAAATGTTTATACTCATTATACAATTAAGATTAACGATACATATTTCGATACTTACCATCATTGTAATTGGTATATCATTCCACAACAAAATGCTGAGTTTGTATTTATTTGGAGGTACTTGGAATATGGGTATTGTCACCTAATATACAATCGTTTATTAATTAATATTCACAACATTGTACAAAGCATTAGACTATTTATATTGCATTGATAATTAACCACTTACTTTATTATTTACAGAAAGGTCCAAATATCCCCAACGTAAATTACTGTTAAATAATAAATATTAGTAACAATATTTTTATAACGATATAAATAGTTATTATTATAAATTACTTACTCCCTGCATCCACTCCTATCTTCAATGTGACTTTCATATGCAAAATGTGCTTTCAGATGACCTATAATAATTATAAATATAAAGTAATTTAGTATAATAATATATAAATTTATGCAATCAAGTGTAACCCCTTACTTTTGTGCATATAGTATACTTTTTCAAAGAACGTGCCGTTTATCTTCATGTGATTACGGGTATCATGATACTCATAATGCCAAGTTACAACAGTGTTATACCATCTGGTGTAATCATCTCTTCCATACTGATGATTACACAGTGATTGCCATTGATTGATATTATCAAGCTTAGACATTGCTATATGAGGACAACTATCTACAAGAATTTTAAACCATTGCACATCAAAGTGCTTAAGTTTCTTTACATATTTGTTGATAACATCAAATGCCTTTTTTTGAATATACACATTATTAATATGTCCAATATCTTGTTCAACTCCTTTCTTGTTCCCCAAACCTACATGTGCTACTAAACTTAAATACCAAGCATCACTATAAACCTTGTTTACTTCAATTGCTGTCTCAATATCAAACAGGGCTTTGCCAAAATTTTTCATATCCAATTTGATTTTTGCATTATTACATAATGCTATATAATTTGTGGAATCAGCTTGCAGTATTTGTGAATAAATGTTCAAAGCCTTTTCCAACTCATTATTTTCATATGCACTTTTAGCTTCTCTATGTAACTTATCTATATTTAGTCTTAGTATTCTTAATGATTTCCAAATTGAACTCCATGTAGATCCAGAACCATACTTTCTTACTCTGTTCTTTCTTTTTTGTTTTTTGAGGTTATCACACTCATCAAATATTTTGGCATTTGTATTACTTTCAGTATCGACATTATGAATGTCTTGATAATTTGTATCTGTTATAGTAAAATAGTGTTGAACATTGTTGTATATAGTTTGTTGTGGCAAATAATACACTTTATCCTTCTTGATTTCACTTCTGCAATAAGGACA